TTCTGTTAAAACGGTGTTGTGTTAAGCCTGTTTTATGCTTCTGCGTCGAATCGACGGCGTACCCCCGCAGACCCCTATCCGTCGACACGAACCCCTCTCCGACCCCTCCGCCGTAGCTCGACGTGCACCTCCAAAAATTTGTAACTACGCGTCGAGGCGACGCAGACAGCAAGGGCTTTGATTGGTCAGATTATACATAATTTCAGGAGTGTAGCTTTTCCGATTTCCCCCTCCCGCTATTTTTAACATTTGCACCCTCGTTCTGATAATTATAATACTCTTATAAATAAAGTAAATAAAGAATTAATCTAAAAATAAACTGTTTTTTTATTTCATTGTTAATGTCTATATTCTTTTCTTTCTTTTTTGCTCGCAATAAACTTCAATCAATCAATAAATCAACGTTTGTTTTGAAACACAGTTTGTTGTTTATTTTCAATACAATGTTCACGGTTACATCATTGATAATACAGTACTAACCAAGTCTGCCACGGGACACATTATCCTGCATAGCACAGTTCCATGTGGAGACTGAAAAAATCCTTTAAGTCATTCCGAACAGGTATCGTTATGGCAGCTCGGGTGGAACCTTTATTTTATTGTCTATGGGTGGAACGGGCCCTGGACATCCGTGTTGATTCTGTGGGGATAAAGTTTGTGTCGTCTTGTTATTCAACGTCGATTAGCTCCAGCTGGCAGCTGCAAAAACAACATTCTCTCTCTTTCGCTCACGGCGCACGGAACCAAAGAGATTCGCGAACCCCCCTAGCGTTCTGGCGGCGAAATGCACCGCGATGCACCACAACCTCACGCAGAAGTATAAAACGGCCACGACGCCGTAGCAGTGATGACGTAGCTACGCCGTGGAGTTGACGCAGAAGCATAATGAGGCCTTTAGCGGCCCCTAACTTTAGCTGGAAAATAACTTCATTCTAGAGCTGTCATTAAGCCAAAACAATCTCTGTTGCTTTGATTTCCTATCATCACTGTAAAGCAGCTTTGGAACAATCGAATTGGCCATTCGATTTGTGTGAATTGGCCATTATTATTACAGACGTCCTGTAGTAAAATTACATTCCCCCCCCCCCCCCCCCCTGTTAAACTAGTCCCGTCCGAATAGGGCAATAGTCTTCTTACATTTAAAAACGTTAAATGTATATTGCCCATTGTACACAAATGTCCTAAACTTACAGGGGTGGCGCCGGGGCTTGGGCCCTCCATCGCTGCTTGCAGTTATATTTCTTCTAGTTTCTAGTTCACTGAAATCACTGCATTCTGGTCAGATCAGACAACACCACAGCGGGGGGACACTCACTTGCCACAGCTGCACAGTTTGACAGTTAAGTGGAGGAATGCACATTCCCATTCATTATGTGTGTAATCATCTGGTGACTCAAGTATCCGAGAAATACGCGTATGTCATTTAATGAAGGATGCACATAATTTAAAAACAACAAAAAAACCATACTCCGATCTAGCTGTGAAACACACTCTCTCAATCCCCTTTTGAACCAAACATTGATTTCCCACAAGACAGCTTTACAGCTTGCACCATTTCCTGCAAAGTGAGTCAGCGAGCTGCATGCTCTGTCACTGTACCCCACTTGCTGTGAACCCATATTTGTCCCTGAGATGAGTCTTTAGCTGCTGCTGCTGGCTTTTGATCCAGTGGTTTATCATGGTGAATCACTAAATTTGATGCCGACCTGAGGGCAACAGTTCAAAGAAAAGATGGGCAGGGTGTGTGGGGTCCAAAATGATTTTCTTAGCCCTTTTTCTCACTCTGGTGGTGTAAATGTAATGTATCTTGGAGGTTGGGCAGGGGGAATCCAATAATCTTCTCAGCCGTCCTGACTGTACGCTGTAGTGTCCTGATGTCTGATTTAGAAGCTGAAACCAAACCAGACAGTTATAGATGAGCACAGAACATCCTCAATGACAGCGGAGTAGAACTGTTTCAGCAGCTCCTGTGGCAAGTTGAACCACAACCTCTGCCGGACCTTTTTCACTATGGAGTCTATGTGAGTGTCCTACTGTATATCAGGGCCTGAGAGATCGTAGTGCACAGTGACCTGACTGACTCCACTGTTGCCACAGTGCTGTTCATGGTGAGTGGAGGCAGTGCTGTTTTTTTATTTTTATTTTCTGAAGTACACTATCTTCTCCACTGAGAATATTTAGCTCAAGGTTGTTATCAGACAGCCATCTGTTCAACCTATAGTCATTAAGCAGATTCGTCACCATTTTGGATAAGGCTGATGACTGTTGTGTTATCTGTAAATTTCAGGAGCTTGACAGAGGGGTCTTTTGCAGTGTAGTTATTTGTGTAAAGGGAGAAGAGCAGAGGGTAGAGGACGCAACCCTGAGGAGCACCGGTGCTGAGAGTCCTGGATGTGAGTTTTCCCAGTCTCAATAGCTGCTGCCTGTCTGTTAGAAAGCTGGTGATCCACTGACAGATTGGGGTTGGCATGTAAAGCTTGATCAGTTCAACTGTGAGAAGATCAGGCATGAAGGTATTGAAGGCTGAATTGAAGTCCACAAGATCCTTGCATAAGTCCCAGGTCTGTCGAAATGTTTCAGGATGTAGTGCAGTCTTGTGTTGACTGCATTATCCACAGACTTGTTTGCTGTACAGACAAACTGCATGGGGTCCAGGGATGTTCTTCAGTTAGGCTAGCACCAGTCCAGTCTTTCAAATGACTTCATGACCAAAGATGTGAGAGCGACAGGTCTGTTCATTAAGTCCAGTGAATATTTTTTTTGTTGATTTGTAAGATCTTGAACTGCGATTGTGATCACTGAAATGTGATGGCGGGTGCACTAACAAGGACGCTAAACAGTAAACACTGCATTCCCTAGCAGTCATTAGGCTGCACAACTCTCACCAGCTGGCCTCCGTTACACGCGCAAATTATGAAAGAGTGGATGTCTATTTATAGTAGCATAATGCTTTGCAAAAAATAAAACGAAGATGATGAACGGATGACAAGGAAGCACAAAATATTGACCCAGTTTTTTGTCCAGTCCGGGAAAGAGCTATGCGATTGACTGTACAACTAGATTTGACAAGAAATTTGAGGTATATTTTTTCAGACTTCCGAAAGCTACAGAACAGAGAAGCTAATGGTTTGCTGCAATTCACAGAAACAACTGGACTCCAAGAATGGAAAAGTGGATTTTCAGTTATCATTTTGTGTCAATATGTTGAATTTAGCGGTAAAATCATACCCTATATATTATATTGTATTAACTCACCAATTAAATATTTACCATCGCATATTCTGCATAATTGGATTTTTAAATAAACACTGAAAAAAAACTATACAAGTTTTAAGGCTGGACGATATGATGATATGGCTTATTGTTTAGTGACTGTCCTACTACAGGATATAACAGCTCACTACCAGTTACAAAAGACACTGTAACAGTCTGTCACAGGGAATTCTACTCACCACACTTCCCTAGCTGCAGTCAGAACAAAGAAAATATATGCTAAGGATTGCACAATTGTAGGTGACGGCAAGTACAGCAGGTGGGGCTTTAGTGTCATTGCTGTGAGTAGTGACCTGTCGGTCAGCCACCGTGTCATTGATCACGTCTGAGGCATTTCCCACAGTGATCCTGTACAGCAGTGTTTCCCAACCCTGTTCCTGGCGGCACACCAACACTGCGTGTATTCTTTGGCCGTTTCTCAATATGCGTACTTGTCTGTACTTGTGTTCTTGTGGACTTGTGAAACGTCATCAGTCGCTGCCGAAGTACTGTTCCAATTCAAAGTTCGCATCTAACCAAGTCCACTTCAAATCCCCGGATGTGTTCTTGATCCGCCCCGTTTACCGAGGATGCATCGAGAGGTGACTTGTGTGGACTTGAGATAGCCAGGTAACCCAGAATGCACCTCGCACCAACCAGCAAGCGTCAATGGGAGAGGAGAAAATCCGCGAAATATCAAAATACTACTGTTATTGAGTCATGAAATGTAATTTTAAGAGTGTTTCAGGCGAGAATGTGGTTGTTTAAATCTCAAATCTGTACTTTATTTATAAAGATAGCGCCTATATTGTAAAATGCATCTGACGTTTTCGGAGTTCTGACATCCAAGCCTTCAGCGGACACTCAGCGATATCAACCCCGACTGGAACAGCTTATCCTCGGCTAGTGCTTCTGACGTTTGCCGCCGGCTCTGATCTCTCTAGTCTAGTGGATAAACCTTGACGTATAACTCGTCTTGTGTATAAGTCTATCTTTGGTCTCATTAAACTATAATTTGTTCCATGGCGCAAAAAAAAAATAGTTTTTAAGGTTTCATGGCTATTTTTTTTTATATTGTCTTCACTATATGAACAATAAAATAAAATGACATAACCCTGTCTCTGTTTGATAAATGTCAATAAAAATCCAATGTTTCATATTTTTAAAATGAAAACAAAAAGATCATGTTCATTTTGTTATAATATATGCAGTGAAGAGAATCGCGTTGACTGAACCACATGGCCATTAGGCTATTATAGGCTATGTTGTTTTTTGTTAATCAAGAGTCAGAGGGGTGTTTTATAACATATTTCATCTTATTGTTGACGAAAAGATGCAGAGTTGTAGCAAATTTCGTTTTATTGTTGCCTAAAATATAGAGTAGAGCGTGCTGAGTGACGCGATCAAGTACGCTCTGTTCCATTTGCAGAAGAACCGGACTTGCGTCCTCACATCCTCGGGAGTTTGTTCTCCGGAGTCGAACTTGCAAGTCTGAACTACCAAGGACGCAAGTCCGAAGTCTGCGTACTTGGTATTGAGAAAAGGCCATTGTCTCCCTTATCAAACACACCTGATTCAACCCATCAGCTCATAATCAGGTGGGTTAATGAGCTGATGGGTTGAATCGGGTGAGTTTGATTAGGGAGACAAAGAAAACACGCAGTGTTGGTGTGCCGCCAGGAACAGGGTTGGGAAACACTGCTGTACAGGACTCTTACTGGATAACCAGGGTTATGAAAGTAACATACCAATTATAGCAGTGGAATAGCCTTGCCCTTTTACAGCCTCGGCAAAGGTGATTTCCTCTTGTGGAAGACCTCCTGACGATGCAGTAAATAGAAAAACTCCCATCCGGCTTGTTGCTGCCATACCTATGCCATCAAAAAAGAAAAAAAAAAAAAACATGCACATGAACTGAAAAACTTCATATTAATTGTCTTTAAGTACAAAGTATTATGTATTAACATTTAAATTAATGATTTGATACAGTGATACTTATTGTGTACACATTGCACATGCTTTTACACTGTACTTATTTACCAACACTATAATATATTTAAAAAATAATAATAATTACATATGTAATTCATTTCTGTAATTGAATCTATAATCACACTGTTGACTATTCCCTTACACCTACCCATACCAACAATAGAAGCAAAAGTGTTTTGCAATGCAACATGAACACAATAAATACACTAACAGTAGCATTTACATGGACCTTAATAATGCAACTGTAATCAGACTAGTAGGTCAGTCAGAATAAAAAAAATCAACCACGTCAACCGGATTGTAAGGACTGTTTTCTAAGTTCAATAGGACAGATGTAAACACTTGATTGAAATGAAAACCTAAACTTGAATGTTTTGGGCATGTGGAATGAAGTAGAAACAATACATAATTATGTATAACACACAGAACGAGCTGTAGTTGTTGTTTAATATAGTGTAATTAGAGCTGGGGTTTCTTTATCAGATTTTTTTTTTTATAACTCATTTTAATTTAATATTTTGCCACGATTTTATTATTTTTAAATTGCAGTTTTGAATAAAAATGTTAGCAAACGTTATAATTAGACATGATGACAATTCAGCAGTGATAAAAGTTTGTTATTTTTGTAATGTACTGTACTGCTAATTAAGGGCAAATTAAACAGGACAAATAATAATAATAATAATAATAATCCTGCGCTTTAGCAGAAATCTCTCACTTACAGAAGTGTCTTTAAACAAATCTCAACAATGCTTTAAAAACAGCACATATTGTTTATTTCAGCAGTAACTCCAGGACCTGATCGAATAGGGTATCTGCCTGTGAGGAAGGCTGCCCTGCTGGGAGTGCAGAGCGGCGCAGCAGCTATGTGTTGGGTCAGTTTCACCCCTTCCAGGGCCAGTCTGTCAATGTTAGGCGTCCTGCAGGCCAGGACAACAACAACACAACAGTCTCATTAAGCTTATGAGAGAGATGACCATTGACCATCTCGCAATATGATCAAAACTTTCTTCACCTATGATATAAACCCATCAAAAGGAAATCCCATCCATGTCAAATCTACTTTGCTTGCATGAGCAACAAACGGCTAATGGGATTGATTCATATGCAGAGTACATAACAGCTAAAAGGTAAGAGATAATCACATAACATGTCTATTGGCAGCAATCTAGTGTGGATTTCCTGTAGAACAAAAAAAGTAACAAACTGAATTGAAAAAACCTGAGGGTTGTGTTTCCATAGCATCCAAGATCTCCAATTCCCAAATCGTCCACCATCATAAAGACAAAATTAGGTTTTGTACCACTGTCAGCATCAGTACAGAGAAGCAGGCCAAGAGAGCACAGGATCCATATAAGAGATTTCATTATACACCCTGAAAGAGAAAGAAGTCAACAAAAAAAAAAGAAAATAGATGAACAAAGAACATTTGATGTCCTTTAACATGTTTAAACTGAAAAAAAAAAACAAAAAAAAAAACAACAACAAATAAGATGCGGTCTAGTTTAAGGCCAAATATGTTGGCGTTTATAGCCTACTTATTTTGTTTCAGTTAGTTGACAAGGGAACATTTGAACATTTTTCAAACAAATCCATAAGCATATTTGAGTTCTACATGTTTTCAGAGTCAGAGTATCTTTATTTGTCTCCCACCGGAGAAATTAGTCTTTGGATCAAGAGAAATTGCTGCATGAGGATTACGACAAGACAAAAACACAGAAACAGTTCAATACAAATAAATACATAAAAAAGCTTTGTGGCTTCTCAGAGACCTGTGCAAAAAGAGCAAATCACCAGTTGCAAATTGTACATAATATTTTCACTGATAAACCATACATTAAAATCACATATCACTGGTCATTTATGAGCTTAATTGAGAGAGGTATTTAAATGAGCGCCTGTACCTAATATATTTACACATAGGAACCCATACCTCTTTCCCGAGGTCAGTAACTCAAACTCTAAAAACAGTGCATGATTAGTGTCGGATATAATATTTTTAGCTTGCCTAATTGTCGCCTGATCAAAAAGCTCCTGCGGGTGGGTGGTGCTGTACCCATAATTTTGCCTGCTGTCTTAACCAAGTTAAAAAGCTGAGTTTTCGATTTCACTGACAGATTTCCAAACCAGCTAGTGATACCATAGCACGGACTCTATTGTTGCTCTGTAAAAGATCAGCGTTTTATCAAAAGTTTTAATATTTATTGTTTTTTTTATATTTTTGAATGTTCAAGTCTAATTTATTTCTTTATATAAGACTTTTAGTTTTTGTTAACATGGTAAAGTTGGGTCTGAAAAACAGATGAATGCTAGTCAATAACATTTTAAATAGGCTACATTATTTTTTTTTCTTTCATCCTAAAAACGGACTGTCTGCCGTGGCCTACCTGTTGCTTTTGCGACGAAAAAGAAATCATCAGACGGCTGACAGACACTCTACAGATGGCTGTTAATACATAACATGCTCTTTTCCAGTGTAAACAAACTGGGTTCACGATAAGGAAGAATACAATATCACGTGTTTGCATGTTCAAGCATTGATTGGTCAACTGATAACGAGGAAATAAGTTTTAGTCTATTCTATTAAACCTTTAATCATCTAGGCTATGTCCAAAACAAGCACTTTTTAGCTTGATTTTAAATTTGAATTAAAAACTAAATTAAATTCTCCACGAAGGACCTGGACATTTCACGCAGTTGTTCCTCTTCCATGATGCATCTGATTAGCAGCAGTACGAAATGTTGGGTTTAAGCTAACGTCCATAACTTGTAAGACTTTCGTTTTTGTTTGCCTGCCGCAACATGCTTTATAATTATAGATTTGTAGTGAAATAGCGCCACCTCTTGCTCATTTTTAATACAAAAGGACGTCACTGTATGCCTGCACACGGATTTGCGTGCGTCCGTGGTGGTCTTTTCATGAAAGAGATCATGATATGAAGTTGAAGCCTGTCAAAACACCGTTTGCAAACGATAATCCCGCTGCATATTAGCATAACATTTAAATTGCAACTTTTAAAGCTCGCACAAGAGACTGACAGAAATTGCTCTGAAATTAGCTTTAGAGTTGCTTCTTAAGCATAGCAGGATGCGATGTCAACCTACAGATCTATTTCATACAAACTGCACCAGTCTGTCTCACACTGTTCAGCTCAGAAATATTCTGGGTTCAGCAATCAACAGCATTTGTGTAATGATAACCTTTTTTTATGTATTCATTTATTTTATTTTTTTACATATGTTCTCTCCTTAAAAAAATAACCAATTCATAAATGTTAAAATGCTCGATACTGCCTTGACAACTTAATGCTTAACAATGACTAAAAGCACAAAACGTAAGTGTTCATTTTAAGTAGCAAAATTGAATGATTGCCTAAACAAACTTGTATAATAAAGATATTATCAATATTGTTACCAACCAAAACATACATGTGTTATTTAATTAGCAAAACTTTATCACTTCACACACCTACCTACATATAGAATTAAACGGCATACTGCGTTTTTTAGTTTTTTGTCAAACAGTCCTGCATTCCTCATCAACCTTACCACGGTAACCCAACAGAAACCCTAAAAAGAAAGATAACAATATTAAACACTGTAACATGTCTCCCTATATTAATCTTGTGAAAAAACAATTAATAATAATAGCAGCATTTATTATCCTTATACAGTCTGATGCAAAGCGCTAAACTCTATTCAGTTTATGCCTGCGTAACTTTTTTAAGTATAGGCTATAGTGATATGAGCTAATTTATGAGCTAAAGTCAATTTAACTGTTCAGTTTTCCTTATGGGTTCCACAGATGAAAGAAAGTCATATAGGTTTGGAACATAAATGATGACAAAATTTAAATTTTTAGGTGAACTCCCTATCCCTTAAGGTGAACTAACCCAGAATATTTCAATAATGTCTGTTTTCTGATTCTCTCAATCTGGCATGATTTTCCATTGCTTGTTTATTTCTCTGTTCTTCTGCTTTTAACCATTTTAATCATTTTCAAGAACATCTCTATATTATTTATCCATCGAGTCAACTATCCACCCACACTGTTTAGCATGATAACATGGCCTAACATTTTTTTTTCCACAAGATGTATCCAGTCTTATTAACTGCATTACACTTCTGTTTAAACTTTGAGGCACTAGGGGCATCTAGGGGTCATTTGCTAATATTCACACTCAATGCTAGCTAGCAGTTGGTGATGAACACACTTCACACTACAGTACATAAAAAATGGAAAAACTACTTCAGCCCATTTTGAAGGTTTGCTTGTATGCAAATCTGGCCTATGGCCGTAAACATGCCAGCTGCCTTTACCATCTGACATAATTCCATGATTAATTGTGTAGGTAAGCAATAAAACACAATTCCCCGACTTGTTGCCGCTGCACACCAGTGCACAAGCAGTTATGCTGACATTACATTACACTGTTTTACAACATTACCATGTCTCATATTTTACTGGTCCCCTTTATAGGCCTCATGCAACTCTGGGACACTAACTCTAAGGTTCGTTTTGAAAAAAAAAGAAGAAACAAACCTATCTCATTTACTCTTCCATGTCCAGATCTGAATAAACAACACATTACCTGCATTAAAAGCTGAACACTGATAATGGACTCTCTTATTATTTCTTATTTTGATAGATGTTATTTGATAGATGCAACACAGCAATAATCACACAGATCCCCCTTTGGAAATCATGATTTTTCATTGCTGATTCCGATTGTGTTGACATTTTTTTTTCTTTGTTGAAGCATGTTTATTTGCTCTATAAAAGGCTAAAGTGGCCTGTTATAGAAAAACCTTGGCAAACGGTCCTGAACGCATTCAAGACAGCCTGGAGCACGAGCTTCCTGTCAGATAACATCGAACACCAATTGGGTCAGAATTAGCGTGTTTTTGAGAGCTGACCCATTTGGCATTCGATAGTTGTAAACAAACCGAGTGTCGTGTGACCTGTGCTCCTGCCCATACATCATAATGCGCCAGGAAGCTTGTCTTCAAGACTGTCGTAATGCAGAGGTTGTGGATTAAAGTTAAAATTGTTGAAAATGAATAATGTCCAGTTTCTTGCATTTTTGCTTAAAGGGATAGTTCACTTTGAAATAAATTTTTGGTATGTTTTAGCTTACCTCAAGTGCATCCAAGATGTAGGTGTGTTTGTTTCAGCAGTATTTTCAATTTTGATATTTTTAGGTCAAACCGTTCGTGTCTTTCAGTCATATAATGGAGGTCTATGGGGTCCACCTCAAAGAGCATGCACGGGGAAGTCCAAATTAAACATGATTCAATGACTCATACATGTAAGTACACATTGATGGCCTAAGACAAGAAACGAGTGGTTTGTGTGAGAAAACGAACAGTATTTATATCGTTTTTACCACTTGTTACGACAGCCACAAAGCGCCCATGCCCTCAGAACGTGGCTGTGGTTACAAGAGGTAAAAACGATATAAATACTGTTCGTTTTCTCACACAAACCGCTTGTTTCTTGACTTAGGCCATCAATGTGTACTTACATTTACGAGTCATTAAATCATGTTTAATTTGGACTTCTCTGTGCATGCTCTTTGAGGTGGACCCCATATACCTCCAGACAGACAAGAACGGTTTGACCTAAAAATATCAAAATTGAAAATACTGCGGAAGCAAAGACACCTATCTTGGATGCCCTTGAGGTAAGCAAAAACATACCAAAAATTAATTTCAAACTGAACTATCCCTTTAAATCATCAATGTGTCAGCAGGAGCCAATGGGATTCATTTTGTTTTGGCTGTATGTTTTTTTGACTCTCAAAGTGACTAGCTATTGAGTTGCATTATATGATTAACCAAACCACGGTTTTAGCTAAAAATCTTCTTTACTGAATTTTTATGGTGAACTATCCTTACCAAGGGTGATGTATATCCAAGGGAAAGAAGCAATTGCATTTTCTTTTCCATTGAACGGTGATATATGCTGATAAATGATACATTTAATTTGTTTGCAAATTTAGTACACATAATAAACACAACATTCATAATCACATAATCATAGTTACCATTTAACTGTCACTGTTTCCAAAATAATAAAAGACATCAAAGAGTCAATGTTATATCTTGACCAGTTGATGGCAGTATCAGCTTTCTGACATGGACTGAAAGGTTAGATATCAATGCATTGTCTCCCCGAGCTTTATTTTGTTTCCTGAAAAATTGAATCTAAAGTACCTACTCTATGCAAATTTCAGTAACATATAAAACCTGTATGCCATATCCCTGACTCAGTAAGCTGAAACACTTTAGTACTCAGCACATGCTGCTAAGGATCACTGAGCAAACTGATTTGGGCATCAGAATCTCTTTTCTTCACCATGTGTAGACACATAATTGTAATCAGTGCAGTATTGCACAGAATGTGCACTGATGCAAAGTAATAAGAACAGCACAACATAAGAACCTGCTGGGCATCATGATGAATTAAGCTTCAGGAAATTTTACACACAAATAAGCTGAATAAAAAAAAAAAAACTCTTCAGTAGCAGGGGCCTTATGATGAATTTGTCTTTATTGCAGCATGCATATCAAATGGCACTCAAGTAATATGATCAGACCAGATATGCCAGGGTCATGCCACCGTCACTCAACACGTGTGGGTCTCCTATCAGCAAGAGCCTTAGGCTCCTGTCTCAACAGGTAGACGTCTCTGGCTCATGTTGGCACGTTCCAGTACAGCCAGCCCACCCAGGTGGAGCAGACCATTGAATATCATGTTAGGGTCCTGAACCCACCTTTGGTGGTTGATCTTATCAAAAGGGGGCTATGAAAGACAGCACACCTGCATTGGCCTCTAAATGATAGCAGGATATTTGAAAACATTTAAAACAGGGTTTATCAATACTTATATTTTAGGACATTAAATTGCAGTTTAATTACCTGTTTAAGTAATAAGTAGGGCTGTTCATAAAACATAACATGTTTTTTTCTTAATTCCACAAACCCCCCACCCCTTCCTGCCTGAACAGAGTCTGCCTAATGCATTGCTAGAGGGCGAGGCCCACATCCCAACACTCCTGTAATGACTGAATAAAGACAATTTGTTTAACATGAGCGAATGCCTTACGGGAGATAAAAGAGAAAGGAGCATCTAACAAAGTTCCTTCACAGGAGCCTTCACAATGTGTTATAGAAAAGGCCTCTTACAAATGGTCGAATGGTTTACTCCCCAATCTTGTAGTAACATGTCTTTATTGTGAAAGTAATATGGTGCTTAGAACCTCAGGGTACAGAGATATCTGTCACCGTCCCACAGGTGGGACGTTTGCCACTATATTTTTAAAACAATAATATCTTAGTAAATACCTTAAATAATATTGACAAACTATATTTCATTTGAAAGCTTACAATCTCTAGTTTCCATATTTGGTGACTGATTTTCAAAATATATTACAGAGGAGCCATAATTTATCAATATAAAACAAGAATATTTTCATACTCATAAGGCGTGTTCAGACCTTTATTTTAAAATAGCAGTAAACATGAAAAATCATGAAAAAATGATAGATACCTCAGTTTGTTTTCATGC